GGACGGTCTGTTATGCCTTTCGTGAAGGTTGTCTGAGACTTTTTGCGTAGACTACAACTCTGTCTGCGCTCTGCATGGTCGCCATGGAATCTCCGCCACGGTCTTCACCTGAATAGAACGCCCATTCATTATAGATGTATCTGGGGCAACTTCCAGTGTAAGATTCAGTTGTAATGACCGACCGGTGCAAGGAAAATGAGGGAGAGCGATAGACAGAAAACCAGATTGCAATATCCCGCTGAAGTCCAGATAGTCGTGTACCAAGCAGAAAGCACAATGCATCGAGATAGAAGCCAAATAAGAGCAATACAATAATGTCGATGTCGACGCTCTCTTGCAATGTCGCCCTTCTTGATTGGCGCCCAGCGTCCGGCCTATCCTACGCAGCACCTACTCTAGCCTATAGACTACATTCATGCAGCTGGAGTCACTTCAAGCTGAAGACCAATGTACGTGATGACGTCGCCAATGCAGACTGTCAGCATACACCAGGTACATGTCCCTTCTCCTCTTCTCACCCCTGTCTCCCCACAGTGTGCTCCCCTTAACCCGAAGACCACCATCGCCCACACCAGCATCTGCACAAGCAGGCTGGGCTATGGCCGCTGCTTGCCCCCACCGCCACCGCAGTCCCCCTCTCACCTCACAGCGCCCGCACGCTCCCGGGCTTGCCAGCGCCCAGGCAGCCTACCTGCACCCAATGCAGCAGCGTGGCCGCCCGCTCGTGCAATGCCAGAATGTGCCCTGGCATGGGCGCTCACTTTCCTATGTTATGAACTTGGTTGTTTGACAATTTGATTGCCACTCACACACAGAACCACTCACACACGCCCATACATGCATGAGAGAAAGGGGAGGAAGAGACAGAGTCCACCTGCGCACAGACCAGAGATAAACAGCGGAATAGCAACCATGCACAGATGGGGAGAATACACACAGTGTTCTCTCTCTCTGATAAACTCCCAACAACCAATCACAGGATGACACCGCGAAGATCACAATTAGAAAGTAATCTAGATGATGAGCCAACTTCACACAAGTAACCCTTCAACCCAGTATCTCGCCACTCAAGTACCACACACCCCACTCACTACTACATCCTCAGAGTCTAGCGCTGCATAGAAACAGCCTCCCAGAGGCCAGCACCATACACCCAGATGCAGATCATGAACAGTGAAGTAGTCTCCAGTGCCGATGAGTCACTCTGACGATGAAGAAGGCAGCTATGGCTGCCTGGCTGCTACCGCAGCACTAGTACCCACATGTACTCAGTGAAGAGCCCCGATGTAGTCCTGCCAACACAGATATCCCCAGGGGATAGATGCGCTGAGTACAGCCCCAGCTATGGCTGTCTCAGGTAGGCGGCTATGGCTGTTTCACGGCTGCTGAAACCTCAGGTGCCACCGTAGGTCTTCAGCGCTGCTCACTTGGTTGGTCGAAAAACGCTGCATCCGAAAATGAAATGCCAAAAGTCCCTAATCGATTTTCCTCCAGGACTCATAGACTCTCTACTCTAGCCTAGACCTAGACTGGACTGACTGCCGGTACCGCTGCTGATTCGGCCTCTCGGCCTCTACCGGACCCGGCTATAGGCTATAGGACCGTATAGCAGTATAGGCCGCTTAGGGCCTGCCGGGCCTGCTATAGGCAGTTAGGGTAGCTGTAGGAACTCGATTAGTACCAGGTCTGTATTTTTCAGAAATTACAGATCTGTCCCTCACGAATTTCCACACAGGCGGATCTCTCGGTTAGCCCTCAGCCAAAAAAAATTACAAAACTAACCCTACAGGTTAGTATACAGCCTCGCAGTCAAACTCGGCAGCAGAAATCAGCAAGTCATTGCACCTATATGGAAAGTGAGCCCTGCGTCTGGCGGCCCTGGGCCTGGCGACCATGTGCCCAGAAAGCTTCACGTTGGGCCAACGTGTCTGCGCCCAGGCCCTTTCAGACAGTGACCTGGGCCCACAGCAGTTAAGCAGACCAACTGTGCGACGTGGCTGCTGTCACTCGCTGCATTCTCATTGGCCTACGGGCCTTCAGCCATGTCGCTGCCTCTCTGCTCATTGGCCGAGACGAGAGCCTCTGGCCACGTCGCTGGTGGAAAGATCCCAGGGGCTCACAAGGTCGTGCTCACACTGGCGAGGCCCTGTAACCAACTGGGGCGCGGAAACTGTCTGACACCCCATATTGCAGAAATGACAAAAATAGGCCTCATGTCAAAATACAGGCCCGCCTTCACTTGGGGCGGACACGAGGCATGCTGGGGGCCCCTCGGACTGTCGGGGCCTGGGCCGACAAGGCCATGTGAGGGCTCATTCCTCGCACCGGGCATTCTATTGGGATGGAGACGGTAGGCCTGTCAGATAAACAATCTGGCCACTACAGTTTTTCTGCTATTCTTACGGGACAGATACGATTTGTCGGGACAGATATGATTTGTCCGCTCCACTGCACAACATTCTGATGTATGTGGAAACAGTGGAACTGGTAATGGTCCCAATACATTTAAGATTTTCGATCACCCTGAATGAATCTGGTCCATGGAGAAGTACAGATAAGTGTGGAATATTGAGTAGTGGAGCGAGGTCCAATGGTTCAACTGTCTGCAACAGGTTTAACACTGTTTCTGGCACCAGACACTCTATATAAGGGGGAGGGGGGAGAGGTGGGGGGGGGGGGGGGGGGGGGGGGGGGGGGGGGGGGGGGGGGGGGGGGGGGGGGGGGGGGGGGGGGGGGGGGGGGGGGGGGGGAGAGAGAGAGAGGGAGGGAGAGAGAGAGAGAGAGAGAGAGAGAGAGAGAGAGAGAGAGAAAGAGAGAGAGAGATATTAGAGATAGAGAGCTTGAGAAAACTGAGAACAGTCCATTCATGAAAACAACCAACGAGCACCAACGATCGACGCCGGATCTCTCTTCTTCACATACTCATTACAGCCCGAACAGCTCGACCATACGCTTATGCCTCTACGCGTTTCACCGCTGGCGTATTCAGCGGACTCATCAGGAGGCTAATCACTGAGAATGATGATCCTGGTCAAGCCCTTGTTGTCTATATGTACTCTCCTTCCTGCGCATCTTCACACGTTTCACCCTACGCTACTTCCTATCCTACGTCCCACACTTTGTCCTTTTCCTTTCTGTGTGTTACCGTATTGCTTCCCTCCCTCCTCCTTAATTGCATGCACCCCCTACCTCCTTGTCCCCTTCTCCGTACCCTTCCCCAACCCCTTCTTGTATCCCCCTTCCATCCTCGATCTTCCCTCTTACCCGATATTATTACTAATTCCTCAAATTGACTATAGTGCCTTTGGTCCCGGTATTCCACCATCTCCTACCCCCCTTCTTCTTGTACTCTTAGTCGATTCCCACCTCTGCCCCTCCAACAATTGCTCCTTCTTCCCCTGTCGCTACCCTTCCTTCTTCTTCGATCAACTCTTCTATATCTGGTCATGTCTCTTGCCATCTCCGTCACTGCGTTATCCGCACAGGTTCCCCCATCCGCTCCGTCTGTGACGTCCTTTCCCGAAATACTTCACCTTTCGCGCTATGTCACTACATTGAAGCTCTGCACTTCTCCGACCGACCTCACACGTTCCCGCCTTCCTCTTCTGCCGTACGGATTTAAACTGTGTGTGACCCCGGCGGTCCAAAAAACCGGATATACCAACTGTCGATTCTCAAAAAATGCGAAGACAGGCCATTCCAAATTACGTCTCTCCTGTACTTGGTCATCAAAATCCTCTCAAAAACAGGCATATTTCCTACATTCTATTCTTAAAAAAGCGAAGACAGGTTACCCCGTATTACCTCTTACCTGTTTTCGGTCCTAAAAAATCATCAAATTTGGGCCTATTTCCTACATTCTATTTCCAAAATTTAAAACCCGAACTAATTTCCTATTTACTATTACATCCCTCTCGGGCCCATGAATCTCTCCAGCCCGGGGTACTCTGTGGGGAGGTAACCCCCCCACGGACCACCGGACAGCCTAGCAAACCTTGCTAGGGCCCCGAGAGAGAGAGAGAGAGAGAGAGAGAGAGAGAGAGAGAGAGAGAGAGAGAGAGAGAGAGAGAGAGA